GCAAGAGGCTGCTGCCTACGGACAGCGCCACCTGGGACCGTGAGCAGTTTTGTATACAAGTGAGGAACTAAAGGAGAAGAAATGGTAACAGCTTTTGTAACTAAGGTGGTGCACAAAGAATGCAGCAAGACTTCGGACAAGAAGTAATCGCAGTAAGGGCTGGGACTATAGCTCAGCAGCACAGCGCCTACCTGGCAATCGGGAGGTCCTGAGTTCGAGCCTGGTATCAAAAAAAGAGAAGTGACTGCAGTTCCGGAGAGGCTGCTGTAGGCCTGGCTGCAGCCTGGACACTAGAGGCAGCACCGCCTCTCCCCTCCCTCCTGTCCCTGCGGCTGCTGGAAGGCTCACGCTCTGGGATTCTTACCAGAAGAGAAGCTGGGCAATGAAGTCTTAGGCGGCTAGGACCCTAGGGAGGACAGGGAAAAGCAGAACTAGAGTGTTCTGGAAAAGCAGACATACTATGGGTGTGCATGTGTGTGAGGGGGGGAATGGGAAAGAGATATTTATATAACGATACTACATAAAATTATTGTACATTTATTTTTTGGGTTTTATTATTATTGTAGATTTATTTATTTTAAATTTATTGTGTGTGTGTGTGTGTGTGGCCAGCTCAGCCCACCAGGGGGCGGGGCTGGCTGGCATGTGGTGCTGGGGGATTGAACGGTCCCTGTGCTTTGCTAAGCTTGTTCCAAGTAGGTGCTTTAGCCCACTGAGCCATCTCACCAGCCCCATTATTGTAGATTTAGATGAACAAATTAAATTTCCATTATTTGACCCAGTTGGAAATCCAGAATTCACTAAACAGGATTTACACAACAGCAAAAAATTAAAAGGGCTTCTGTACCTCTATGGCATGCATTGCAAATTCAGAATGATTTAAAATTCACCGGTATTTCTCAGTCAGTGCTCCTTGCCCCGTGATATCCCAGGGTGGGCACTGACACACTGATACAATAAATGAAGTTGTCTTTGGCTCTTGTAAACTGCTTGACTAAAAGGGGACCCTATGAACTGGGCGCATGACTCACAGGCAGAGTGCTTGCAAAGCCTTCTGTTTGAGCCCTGGCTCCACAAAAATACAAGAAAGTAAAAGGGAACCTCTGTATCCCCAGTTCAAATAGTTAACGTGGTCCTGTGGAAGTTCAAATAGGGCCTCCAAGGACTAAAATTTGCATAAAATTTTATTTATTTTATGTATTTGGTACAGGGTCTACAGGGTGTTCAGGGTCTCACTATGTAGATCAATCTCGTAGTGATCCTACTGTTTTCAGCCTCCCAAGTGCTGCGATTACAGATGCACGCTACCACGCCCAGTCTCAATCACCGTTTCAGTGTCCCCCAGGGGCAAGGTTGGCACGGCTGGGGATCAAACCCAGGCCACTGAGCTCTGCCTCTTAAACCGGCACTTCAGTCCGCTGAGCTATCTGGCCAGCCCTACATAAAACTTTAAAGACTGATTATTCCATTCCTTTTCCATTTAGGAACCCAATTTTGTCTCTTCTTAAACCTGGAAAAAGGGGACTGGGGAGATAGCTCAGTAGAGTAAGGGCTTGCTTGGCAAGCACAAGGTCCTGAGTTCAATCCCCAGTACAGAAAAAAAAAACACCAAAACCCTGGAAAAAAATAAAATGCTGCAGTCCTATCTGCTAAGTCCCTCATACCTGTTAACAGAACCTCCCCCTCCCCAGCCATTATACTTCAGTTTTTAGTTACCCAGGTAACAGTTCCTGTTCCAGTTCTGGTTGTCTGTTAGAAACAGCTGGCCCCTGGGATGCACACCGTATAAGCCAATCCCACTGACAAGCCATTCTGCCTCTGTACTTCCTGTTTATCTCATAGAAGTCCTAAACCACCAGCGGTCAGGGCCTGATATTCTGGGAGTGATCCTGATCTGTGCCTGTCTATGTAAGTAAATCTGCCTCCAAAGCCTGGGCACTGTCTCAGTGTTTCTGCTTGCCACTGTGTACTCAAGACCAGATACTATTAAAGTTGCTAGCCATACCCAGTCCACAGCAGGTCGCTGTCCAGCTGTCACAGCTTTGGTGGAAGTAGTCTCTTCAGTGCCTATGTCAACAGCCTCCCAGCCAAACTTCAGTTTATTTCCAGGGGAACGCAACATACCTTACCTCAGACAGCTGCCCTTGAATGAAGTCTTGGGCCAGAAGACCTGAACGTCATCTGCTTTTCCCCAGGAGCACTAGTATGACATCACATTGACATCCTCCGCTAGGGAGGTTTGCTTTACACCAGTCCAACATCTTGTAGTCCTGCTGAGGTTCTGGCAACCAGATTGTCCTCTGTTATGAATTTTACTTAGTCCTATGGATGCTGTTCCTCATAAACCAGCCCACCTTAAATGGGGTTCCCTCTAATAATGGGCTATAAAATGTGTCCAAATTAAAATCATCAGTAGAGGGGCCAGGGAGATGGCTCAGTAGAATAAGTAAGCAATCCACCACATTATTAGTAATACCCACACCAGGTTAGGGTCGGATGACTTAAAACTCTTTGTACAACATCCCCTCACACACAAAGATGCCACTCACCTCTACACATACCTCACCAGACTCTGTGCTCTCCACCACTCTACTTGTCCTCTTGTCCCAAGGAAGGGAAAAGCTGAAGCATGATTTATTGTTGATATCAATGTTCTTAGCTCACTTCACACTTGCAGCGCCACTACGCCACTGTCAGAGACCTCGCAGAGCTTCAGGTCTGTGCGCTCGGCTGATGCATGTGAATGGAAAACCTAGTCATGGGTTGGCCTGTGAGGGCCCCTTAACTTCCGCATTCCTTTTTTTCATCATTTTGAAAACACTGATCAGAGTAACTGGTACATTACTTTTTCAAAGGCTCTTCTATCATCACCTCCAAGTTTCCTTAATGTGTTGAAAACCATCACAGGGCTGGTTGTGCTGACCACATTTCCAGCTCCTGCAGACACGGGCTCTAATATCTGAATGTGTATATACACCAGGGCCAAGTTCGACCCTTCATCGAAGGCACCCATCCAGTTGTTCAAGCTGAGGTCTTTCCTATTGTCTTCTCTCCTTTGTTAAGGGCCAGCCTGTTGTCACTTTGTTAGCTGAATTCACTTACTATTTCCTCTAATTAAAGTTCTTTTTTTTAAAAAAAAAAAAATGTAGGGGCTGGGGGAATAGCCCAGGGGCCTAAGCGCCTGCCTGGCAAATGCAAGGTCCCAAGTTTAATCTCTGGTACCGCAAAAAAAAAAAAAAAAAAAAAAAAAAAAAAAAAAGTTATACCTTAGACACACTTTGTTCTAGACCATCAGCTGCCAGGCCTGAGTCCTTTGGGTGGGCTTCCTGCTACCCCTCCCACAGGAGCCCTCTTTTCTGCTCATGCAGAAATAGCAGCTGGCCAATCCAGACCTTGCTCCACCCCACCTTCTGTATCAAGCCTAGAGCTCAGGCCAACCATGAGGCCAGCCCTGCACCTCAGAGCCCAATTGTGTATCTGAACAAGCCCACGCTGAGTGTGCGCGTCCTGCCTTGCTTGTTGTTCCCAACAGAAACCACAATAACCACAGTGTGGTAGGATTTCTGCCTACCATCCCATCCCACAGCTGACCCTGAAGCTGCATGCTGGCCTCTCCCTCAGTGGGCCTCCCCTCGCTCTTGGAACTGTAATAAACTGTTCAGCAGCAGTGGGCTCCTGGTCTACTTGCCAGAGTCGTTATTCCATTACTATGCTGTTTTAAAACGTGATGTCACACAGATTTCAATCTGTACAACTCGTTTTCACTTAAACAGTTACCTTGAAACTAATCCTGAGGCAGCAAATCCAAGTTATGGAATAGCCTCCAAAAAAACTAGCCTGTACTCTTTCAAAAATGGCTATTTTGGGCTGGTGAGATAGCTCAGAGGTCTAAAGCACCTGCTTAGGCAAGCATGCAGGGACTGAGGTTAGATCCCCAGCACCACACGCCTTATGAGTCTCGCCCCCAGGGTGGGCTGAGCAGGCCACCAAAAAAAAAAAAAAAACTATTTTGGCTGGGGAGATAGCTCGGCGGTCTAAGCGCCTGCCTGGCAAGCGTAAGGACCTGGGTTTGATCCCAAATACTGCATGCTATGATAGCCCCTGAACCCTGGGCATACTGGGCTGGCCACTGAAACTGAGCATGGTGGCGCACGCCTATAATCCCAGCACTGGGGTGGCTGAGACAAAAGGATCACGAGTCTGAGCTGCGTTGCAAGACCCTAATAAATAAATAAATGATTTTAAAAAAACTTTAAATGCCTACTTGGACGTGCCGGCCTGGCCCCCTCAGCCCACTGAGGCTGCAACTGAGACAGGGCATAGTGTCATGCCTGTAATTCCAGCGTTTGGAAGGCTGAAAACTGGAGAATCGCTACAAGTCTAATCTGTGTAGTGAGCCCTGTACTAAATACTTTGTGTGTGGCCAGCTCAGCCCACCAGGGGGCGGGGCTGGCTGGCATGTGGTGCTGGGGGATTGAACCGCGGTCCCTGTGCTTTGCTAAGCTTGTTCTAAATAGGTGCTTTAGACCACTGAGCCATCTCACCAGCCCCGAAATACATTTTTTAAAAAAGGCTATTTTATGAAAGACAGAAACATTGCTGGACCCATCCAGATCAAGGACTAAAAAACTGGAAATCTAAATGCAGGGTATAATACAGCTCAGGTTGGATCTTGAAACAGAAAATGCTGTAAGTACATCCTGGGACAACCACATAACCTGAACAACTGCAGATTAGGAAAGATCTTTGGTGACATGCGAATTCCAAGGTCGGAGTAGAAACGTCCACAGCACTTCTGCCTTCAGCACACCTCGGCGTTCAGCTCCCAGGCCTTGACTCCAGAACTGTAAGAAATCAGTTTCTGTTCTGTATGAATTACCCAATCTTGGGGATTTTGTTGCAGCCCCACAAAACAGACTGACACAGTCAAGTTTTTCTTAGAGAAACTAGATGAAGAACTACACACAGAAGAGGAATCTGACTGAAGCTTGAGTGAAGAAACCAATTAACAAGAACTAAGTTTACTAAGAAACTCATCAGGAACCACTTTTAACATTTTCAGTTACAATAAAACCATACCTTAATGAATCAGGGCATCCAAATTCTAATATAAAATGTAGTGTAATGTTAATAAAAAAGTGCTTTTCAGTTCATAAAGTACAAACAATACTAAAAATTACACTATACACAACCGATACACTGTACAAAGTACTGAGTCTGTGATAGGTGGGAAACATTTGCAAGTCTTTTGTCCAAATTTTACTACTGTGGATGGCAGTACTTTTTATGCCTATTTCCTGAATCTGTCACTAAGGCGACTTTCAGGATTCCTTCCAAATATAAATCAGTAAGTATAAGGTAGGAAACCGACTAGCGTCTTTATATATTGATCTTAGTTATAGGGATTTTCTCCACTTTCTTCAGAAACTGCTGGGCCCTACTGTGAGCCGAGCGCAGCTCTGCACAGCAGAGACACTGAGAAGAACCTCCCTAGGGGAGTGACACTTCTGTTGACATCAGTGCTGTCAATCATATTTTTGTTAAAGTCCTACCCAGAATCTTCATTTATAAGGCCCCTCTCCTGGTATTTTTTTTTTTTTTTCGAAAATAGCTTTTGTTTAATAACTTTCACTGCAGAGAAAATTATTCAACAAATTCATATCAAAGTTCAAGTATTAGTTCAATGTCCCGTATTTGATTCCATGTTCTTCACAGGAAGGTCTTCTGGGACAGAATATGCTCCTATACAGCTGAGACATTTAAGGTGGATTGATTTCCTTACCATTTCTCCACTGCAAGTTCTGGTGTAATCCCACATAGCAAGTCAGTCTTCCTTGTAATGGGTCAAGTGCAGCCTCAATCCCTTTTCCCTGCCAGTCTCCTGGTACATTTTGGCAAATGTTAAGTTTCTTCTATTGTATCACATCCTGAGACTGGTGACAGTCTGGAAATCTGATATAAACACTGACCACATTTATAGAACAAATAAGTTTCACGTTAAATCTGACACTTGTCAGGAATTACTCTGAGTCATGAAAGCACAGCATTTAAGGAGCTTCTGAATTCTGAAGTCATCCCATAGTCAACCAGGGCCTTCTAAAGGAGACAAAGGCTACTTCATAGCTCGAATTCTACAGGTTCCCTCCAGTGTGGACCCTCTGATGGTAGACGAGATGCGACCTCTGACTGAAGCCCTTGCAGCAGATGTCACATATGTAAGGCCTCTCTCCAGTGTGGACCCTCTGATGTGTGTGGAAATGTGAAGCCTGACTGAAGCCCTTCCCACACTGCTGACACGTGTAGGGCTTCTCTCCAGTGTGGACCCTCTGATGAGCACTGAGACCTGCACTCCAACTGAATTCTTTCCCACACTCCTCGCACTTAAATGGCTTCTCACCAGTGTGGATGATTTGGTGGACTTGAAGATTTGACCTCTGGCTGAAGGCCTTACCACATGTACCACATTTATAGGGTTTCTCACCAGTATGGACTCTCTGGTGGGCTTGAAGGTGTGAAGCCTGGCTAAACCTCTTCTGGCATGCATCACATTTGAATGGTTTTTCCCCAGTGTGGACACTCTGATGAGCTTGAAGGTTTGAGGCCTGACTGAAACCCTTACCACACTCCTCACACTTATAGGGTTTCTCTCCTGTGTGGACTCTCTGATGATTGTGGAGATTCAAGCTCCAATTGAAGCGCTTCCCACACACTTCACATTTGTACGGCTTTTCTCCAGTGTGTACTCTCTGATGGGCTTGAAAATAGGAACTCTGGCTGAAGCCTTTACCACACACATTGCATCGAAATGGTTTCTCTCCTGTGTGGACCCTCTGATGGCTCTGGAAACTAGAGGCAGAACTAAAACCCTTCCCACACTCTTCACATTTATATGGTTTTTCTCCCGTGTGCACTCGTTGATGGCTATGAAGATTAAAGCTCAAACTGAAGCACTTCCCACACTCACCACACTTGTACGGTTTTTCTTCAGTGTGGACTCTCTGATGGGTATGAAGATTCGAGCTACAACTGAAGCGTTTGCCACAATCACCGCATTTGTATGGCTTCTCTCCAGTGTGGATTCTTTCATGAGCCTGAAGATGGGATCTCTGAGTGAAGCCCTTCCCACACACCTCACACTTATAAGGTTTCTCCCCAGTGTGAACTCTGCAGTGAATGTTAAGGTCGGTGCTTCGACTGAAGCCCTTTCCACAACTGTCACACCTGTAGGGCTTCTCTCCTGTGTGAATAGGCAAATGAGCATACAGATGTGAGCTCTGATTGAAGCTCTTACCACACTCAGGGCACGTGTAGGGCTTCTCCCCTGTGTGGACTCTCTGATGAGTTTGCAGATTAGAGCTCTGACTGAAACCTTTGCCACATTCATGACACCAGTAGCGCTTCTTCCCTATGTGAACATTTCGTGGGATAGGAAGACTATAACTGGCGTTCTCCTCAGACCTACTGCACAAGGGGGACGCCTTTCCCAAGTGCACCTGCTGATGAAGTTCAAGACCAGAGCTGTCTCTGAAAGCCGCTTCACACTCACCACACTGGTACATTCTCTGTCCCGGGTAAGCACAATGTTTGCCAGGTGGGGACACCCTTAGGGTATCCCTCCCACCAGCGCTGTTGCCATCAGCTGCCTCCATTTTGTGCACTACAGAATCATCACGGCAGTGGGAAATGCAACTTAAAATGTCAACACATGGAACCAAGATACAGAATTTGCTTTTTGTCTGAGCTGGCTGACAACTTTTCTCATAGCTCTGTGTCTCACTGAGATATATTTTACTCCAGGGACTCTGAACTCTTTCAGTTGGAAATTCTTGATTTTCAGTAACATCGGAATGATCCTCTAGAAGAGTCAGAAGACAGGTGTCCTCTACAGATGCCTGACAAGATTCTTCTGCTCCCAGACGGCAGGAGGAACCATACTGCTTGGGGACCCAAGAACTCAATCCCTGAATATTTATGATGGAGTCTTGACTTTGGGTTACTTTGTTTAGAAGATGTCTTTTGATTTGCCAACGTGAAAGCTCTCCCAGTGAAAGGCATCTCAACCCCACTTCACAAAGAATCTCCATCTTGTCTTGATTCCTGTTTTCTGAAAGGAAAAAAAAAAAAAGGAATCGGACCATGTATAAAGCTCACTGACACAGCACCTGGCCTGGGAAGCAAAAGGTCTTGAATTCAATTCCTGGTACCAAAAACCAAACCAAAAAAAGACAAAACATAAGAAATTAAAGACAGAAAGTCTGGCCTGGAACTTGCTGCAATCTTCCTGCCTCAGCCTACCAAGTACTGGGATTACAGGCATGTGCCATCTTGCCCAGCTAAACTCTATTTTAAAACAGACACAGTATAAGAAGATTCCAGAGATGCTTTGAACAGGTAAAGGCATTTTCATAGCTTTAGATAGCTTAGTGTAGACATTAGATGAGGCCACTTTTTCCAACTTAAATTTTGGAATTTATTTTACCCTCTGACAAAAGAAATAATAGTCTTAGTAGGCTAGAAATTAACTTGAGGCATGACTAGGCAAAGGCAGAAGCAGAAAGAGAATTAAGATCTGCTTTTTTAAAAATGATTAAAATATTAGGTACATGTACAAATCTGCCAAAATGAAACCCATCACTCTGTATAGCCAGTATGTACTAACAAAAAATGTGTAAAGAAAAAATATCTTTAAGTATTTGGTGTTATTTGGTAGCCTGTTTCCTTATTTGTTTGTTTGGAAGTATAGGGTCACATTTTAATTCCGGAATTTTACAGTTCAGCATTAATATCATCACATGTATACAAATGGTATAAAACAAGTACAGTGGTATTTTAATGATAAAATAAACATCTGTTTTATGGGGAAAAAAAAAGACAGAAAGTGACATCAGCAACGATGTAACTAGGAAGCTTAAAGTCTTTATTTCCCTTTAGAAATATTAAAAAAAAAAAAAAAAAAGTGAGGCCTCCAGGTCTTCTCTGAGCATGTGTACTGCTGAGCCTGTAGTGCTTCTCTCCACTGTTCAGCCTATTCAGCTACTTTTCGTGGTCTTGGTGTGGTGTGGGATAAGGGCACCAGGGCCCAGCTCCCTCCCTCACCCTGGAGGGAGCAGGGAACACCTTACTTGTATTACTGTAACTGGTGTGCGTGGGGTTACATGAACTCACAGCCAGGATGAGAAGACCCACTAGACAGCAAGAGTGGGTACCACTCAGCAAACAGCAGAGGGGCCGCACACCTGCAGTGTCCCAGGGAAAGAGTAAGTTTGGAGATGGAATGAACACCAAAAGCCCCGAGAAGCCAGGGTCTAACTGAGAAATTAACACCTTTAGAAGCATCTACATGTAAGAGAAAGATGGAAAAACAAACACCTAGAGCAGGCAAGACACACGACCAGGAAATACTGGAGATCTTAGCTCTCACCTGGGCAGATCCCATATTTCAAAACATACTTTATCAGTCAGTGCAGGTCCTTCCTAAAGCAGGAAGGAGAAGACTGGGAAAAGTGGGCTTTTTTCAAATGCCTAATCATTAACAAAAGTTCCAAAGAAACTTGGAAAGAAAACTCAAGAGTGCAAAATAAAATCTCCAAAACCAACCTAAAGGAGCACTGGCCTCTGACTTAAATGACAATGATTTAAGAATTACTTTAAATGCTCAATGAGGTACAGAATACTGATGACCAAATAAAATGACAAAACTATTAACAGAGATAGAAAATAGAAAACTTATTAAAGCAAAAATTCGGACACTGAAAAATACAATAAAAATTGAAAAGCTGAAGCAGAAAATTGACAGAACCTGAAAATGGACTGAAGATCAAATCTGAAAAGTTTAATGGGCTGTCATCAAGCAGACAGTGAACACCCAATGGGAGTTTTAGAAGAAGGGGAATTAATATAGTAAAAGGAATATACAAATCCAAGAAGCTTAAACTCTAAGAATAAACCCCAAAAGATTCACATTGAAACACAATCAAGGGGCCGGGGAGATGGCTCAGTGGAATAAGCATTTCCCTGGCAAGCACAAGGGCCTGAGTTCAGTCCCCAGTTCTGCCAAAAAAAAAAAAAAAAGAAAGAAAGAAAGAAAGAAAGAAAGAAAGAAAGAAAGAAAGAAACAATCAAACCATCAGAGACAAAGACTTGTAAAAGCATCATGGGAAAAGACTCATCACATACCAGGGATCCTCAGTAAGATTATGAATAGATTTCTCAGCATAAAACTTGCACACCACGGGCTGGTGAGATGGCTCAGTGGTCTAAAGCACCTACTTAGAACAAACTAAAAGCACAGGGACCGCGGTTCAATCCCCCAGCACCACATGCCAGCCAGCCCTGCCCCCTGGTGGGCTGAGCTGGCCACACATACACACACACACACACACACACACAAATAAAATTAAAAAAAAAAAAAACTTGCACACCAAAAGACAATGAGATGATTTAAAAAACCCAAAACTGTCAACTAAGAGTATTTTATCCAGAAAGACTTTGCAAAGGAAGAAAGCCCGGCATGGTGATGCAAACATAAGCCTGCACTTGGGAAGCTGAGGCAGGAGGGTCACCTATAGTTCAAGGCCAGCCCTACAACACATAGTGACACTGTATCAAACACAAGTGTTGTGGGGCACACACTCAGATAAACAAAACCTAGTGGAGACGCTGCTCACCACGAGCCCTGCGCTATAATATTTGCTAGATGAAGTCCTTCAAATACAAAGGACACTGACTGGTACCCCAAAGCCCTCTGAAAACCAAGTTCTACACTAAAGGTAAGTCTTCAGGCAAATACAAAACCTGTACTATAATTGGATTCAATTTCAACTTAAATTTTGTTATAGGATTTGTAAGGTTAAAGCACACAGGAGTCACACAGCAAGTGGATATGAATGTAGAACAGGAGTCTATCTGTAGTCAGCCGGTAGCTGTTGGATTAGTGACTCTTCCTGGCTTCCTCAAGCTGCTGATCAATCCTGGATGCTTATCTTTAGTGAGAATGAGTTATAGAAGTCCGCAGATATTACATTTGCAAAGATTCAGGACATAAATCAAGCATTAAGTATATAAAAGAAATCTGAAAGGCTGGCTATACCTAATCTCGGTATTGATGACAAATACTGGCTGGTCCTTGAGAACTATGGAGCTGACATAAATATGATTTCAAAGCTGTACATGAAGCAGAAGCACGATCCTCCTTTGGCTCGAGACCAGCCTCCCACTGCTGGGAAGCTCTTGTAGGCGTGTCAGCTCTTCCACAGAATCCAGCAACCCTTGCGGCTCTTCTAGTCACACCTGACCATGTTAAGGATGCCCGAGGCAAAGCCTATAATTTGCCATTACAACAGTGTGGCCAGGGTCCTCCTGGAGTTTGAGGTTGTCTATTACGGCCATGGCTTCAATAGGTGAACCCCTAAAGGGTGTTCTGTAAGACTAGCCACACACCGGGGTCCCCCTAACATTTGTAAGGGCTGTGCCTATAGGATGTACTTAAAGATATTTTGTGAATCACTTGGTTCAATCTAGGGAACTGACTGGGCGCCATATTAAAATATGTTCATGGAGGAAAGTAGTTATTAATTTAAAAAATCCTTTTTAAAATGCAGGGAGAGACTGGGCGTGCTGGTACGTGCCTGTAACCCCAGCACTTGGGAGGCTGAAAACCGGAGAATCACGAGTCCGATCTGTGTAGTGAGACCCTGTACTAAATACAAAAATAAATAAATGAAATAAAATGCAGTGAGATCCAGAATGTGTTGGTAAATGCCTGCGTGTCTGTTAAACAAAGTCTTACGTTATCTTTGGCTGTCCTGGTAGTTAATCTAGCTAAATCCTACTAATACTTGTATTTCCTTATAGATTGTCAAGAAGGTGTATCTCCATAGCTGTATAAATTGCATCTCTAGATAACTGAAAACTGAATTTAGAAGGCTCTGTGACACTTTCATTAGGAATGTAAGTGAAATTATCATGGAGCTAAATGGATTTTGAGAAGTCTCCACTACTGCAGTGTCCACGTATCTACCAAACGTGAGGTTCATGAATAAAACATCTTATGAAAACAAAACAAAACAAAAAAAAAGGGGGGGGCAGGGAGATGGCTCAGTAGAATAAGCACTTGCCTGGCAAGCACAAGGGCCTGAGTTCAATCCCCAGTTCCACTAAAAAAATCCAAACAAACAAACAAAAAACCCATGAAATTTCGTTGGGGAGATGGCTCAGTGGATTAAGTGCTTCCCTGGCAAGCACAAGGGCAAAAAAAAAAAAAAAAAGAAAGAAAAAAGAAAACAAAAAAAGATTAAAGCACACAAAATTTGAAGGCCATGTTAATGGGTGTACCGTATATAAAGACGCAATCTGCTGACATCAGTAACATAAAAGGCAAAGGTGTACAAAAATGTTGTTGAAGTTAACTTTATGATGCTTTACGTAATCTTCATGGTCACAACAAAATAGCTACAGAAAACAAAACCAAAGTTTGTATTATAAAGGAGAGAGAGACAGGGAGACAGAGAGCGAGCGAGCGCGCGAGTGAGCACGAGAGCATGAGAGCACACCCAGGCGAGGTATGGTGGCATACGCCGATAGTCCCAGCACTCAGGAAGCTGAGGCAGGAAGACTGCTGTGAGCCTGAGCCCCAGGTGGACTACAGAGCAAGAACTTACCTCAAAAACAACACAAAGGGGCTAAGGAGACAGCTCAGCAGTCCAGGTGCCTGCCTACCAAGCACAAGGACCTGGGTTTCATCCCCAGTACCGCCCGCTATGCTGAGCCCACACCATGCTGGCCACTGAAACCAGGCATGGTGGTGCACGCCTATAATCCCAGCACTGGGGAGGCGGAGACAGGAGGATCACTACCAGTCTAAGCTGTGTAGTGAGACCCTGTACCAAATAAATAAATAAAGATTTTAAAAATTAAAAAAACAAGCAAACAACAATAAAAACCCAAAACAAAAAAATAACCAAACCAAACAGAACATTAAGGAGGGGACAAAAAAGCTGTGACAATAAAAACCAAAATGTCAACAGTTGTCAGTGTCTGACTAGTGTACAGAATGAAAATTACTTGGATGAGACTTTGTTTAATCACCAGGGAGGCCAGAGGGGATCTCTCAGAGTAAAGGAAACTTCTGCCCCATAGTTTAGGTGCACAGAGCCTGCGCGCTTTTCCCCCACAACAGGAAGTCCTACTATAATGTTAACCGATTAAACGCCCCAATAAAAAGACATAGATTGAAAAGATGGATTTAATAACTAAGAACCATGCAAGCTTAAATATCGCATGGTTCAGGGGCCAGGAAGATGGCTCAGTAGAATAAGCGCTTGCGTGGCAAGCACAAGGGTCTGAGTTCAATCCTCGGTTCCACCAAAAAAAAACAAACAAAAAACACATGGTTTCTCTTATATGAGAAACCTAAATTATAATTAAAGAGCAAAATAAAAGAAAACAGGGAGCAGGGAGCTAGATCTCTCTCAACTAGGGAGGGGAGAAAAAGGGAATGAAAAAGGAAATTATGATTTGTTACATACGCCACAGAAGGAATGTGAACAGCGTGAGTCATGTGATAGAAAAGAACTAAGAACCACATATATGCTTCAATCTAAGGACACAAATAGGTTTACAGTGAAAAAATGGCAGAAGATATTCTTGCCCGATACATAAAAACAAGCAGGGCAGCTGTACTAATTATGAGAGAAAATTTATTTGCTTGTGAAAGCAAATAACTTAAGGTCATTAAGTTAAAAAAAATTTAAGATATAAAGAATGTTATGTAATGATTAAACTAAACTCCCCAAGATTTAACAGTTATAAACATACAGCTGCAGCACAATGTGAATGAAGTTAACACCACCACATACTTAAAAATGGTTAAAATGTTGAAGTGTACGTTACATATTTTACCACAACTAAAAACACACAACAAGCTAGTTGTCTGGTGGCACAGAGCTCAGGCAGTGATCAGGGCAAGCTGAGGACAGAGAGTGAAAGGAAGACAGTATTTTTTTTTTTTTTTTGGCGGGAGCAGGGGGCACCTGGGATTGAACTCAGGACCTTGTGCTCGCCAGGCAGGCACTTATGCCTGCTGAGCTAGCTCCCCAGCCAGAAGACAGTATTTTAAGCAGGCTTAAATGACTTCTGAGCAGATGTAGGAATTAAATAGGGGCTGAAGGGTTACTGGATTCCAACCAGAGAAAAGGAAAAGGCAGAACACAGCCTTGGTAAAGCTAGGAGAAAAAACAAAGCTTTGTGACCTCCCAAGCCCAAGGCTGGGTTTACTGAGTGCATGGGAAGCCGGAGGAGGTTGGGAGGTGGAGTGGCCAGACAGGACAGCCCATGGATCTCTCCGGTTGGCATTGGAGAAGAGGGCACTCTGAGCAGAGGCAGAGCCACCAGGCTGTTACCACCATGGCTCCTGTGGCACAGGACTCATGAATGCCTACCTCTTTGTGCTTGGGTCTCCATCACCCAAAGCTTTTCCTCTCTCTCCAACTGGGATATCATATCTGGCTTGAAGGACTGGTGTCCTGTGAAATGACAAGATTTATCAGAAAATGCTAAAGGCAAAGAGTACTGAAGAACTCTGGTTCTCATCCCATAAAATAAGCCTATACCCTGCACCACCAAGCAATGTTTATCAAACATTTTTATCATGACATAGCATAGTAAGTATATTAGCATTAGGAAGATATTATCATACATGAACTACTGAAATATGAGATGCAATGAGCTTTTCTTTTTTTTTTTTTTTTTTGTATTTTAGGACAGGGTGTACAGGGTATATAGGGTCTAACTGAGTAGATCAGACTTGTAGTGATTCTCCTGTTTACAGCCTCCCAAGTACTGAGATTACAGGCACACGCCACCATGCCTAGTCTCAATCACTGTTTCAGCGCATCCAGGAGCAGGGCTGGCACACAGACCCGGGGATCGAACTCCATGCCCCTGTGTCTGCCTAAACAGACACTTTAATCCGCTGAGCTATTTGGCCGGCCTGCAATGATCTTTGTAGCTAGTGTTTTTTTTCTTTTCTTTTTAATTATTTGGTACAGGGTCTCACTATGCAGCTCGGACTCATGGTGATCCTCCTGTTTTCAGCCTCCCCAGTGCTGGAATTACAGGTCACAGTGGCCAGCTCAGCACGCAGGGGGCGGGACTGGGGCCAGCGTGGCATGTGGTACTGGGCCAGTGTTTTCTTCACATCCCAGTTCTCACAACCATTTACTGTAATCACCTACAGTTACTGTTACAACGCACAGCAGCACTGACATGACTGCTCTAGTTCACACATAAATGCCGATTACTGTAGTTCATGATCCACCAATGGATTACGACTTACAGTAGAGATAAGAAATAGAGACTTGGGGCCGGGGAGATGGCTCAGTAGGATAAGCGCTTGACTGGCAAACGCAAGGATCTGAGTTCAATCCCTGGCTCTGCCAAAAAAAAAAAAAAAGAAAGAAAGAAAGAAAGAAAGAAAGAAAGAAAGAAAGAAAGAAAGAAAGAAAGAAAAAAAAAAAAGAAATAGAGACTTGCCACAGAGGAATGTGATCGATGATGCATAGTGTGCCTGGGGAGAGTCACATGGAGAGAAAAAACATTCTCTCAGGCTTTCACAAAGAGCAAATTGGCCAAGCAATGGCCGTGACTCATCCTCATGGCTGACACTGACAAAGGATCTACAAAGTGCGGTACAGGGCTACAGGATAAATCCTGAGGGGACTTGAACGACCTTATCAGATATAAAAGTTACATTTCTTGTTATATGGGTCTTGCTTTATCTTGGTCTTAACCATCCAACAGAAAAGTATAAAAATGAGGTATATAAAGTCAAGTCATATTAATACGATGAGCTGTAAAAGGCTCAAGTCAATAACTTCTGAGGATAACCCACTAATATTATAAACTGCTAGATAGTGTTGGATTGTTTAGCTGAATTCAAACACCTTAGTATTTAGATGCCAATAGAATATTCACTTCTGACAGGACTAAAAAAAAAGGGGGATACAAAGGAAAGATCATTTTGAATTTATATATACAAAATAGGATAGATATACAGCTACTTTCGCTTAATTCAATGAAAAGAAAGAGATATACTAATAGTGTTTGGACAGGATATCCTGTCTGCTTCTTGTACTGTGGATAATCACTAAGAAGATAACAATGTACAATGTATTGATTATCAAAACTGTCCTATTATTCAGCATTCATATTTATTTCTCAATAAAATAAAATAAAATAAAGAAATAGGGACTTGAAAGGTGGATATGGTGGCATATGTCTGTAATCCCAGCAATCTGGAGGCCGATGTAGGAGGATCACTGTGAGCTTGAGACCGCTTGGGCTACAAAGTGAGCTCAAGGCTAGGCTGAATTGCATAGGGAGACCCTGTCTCAAAATGACAAACAACAACAACAACAAATAGGGACCTGGGGCAGCTAAGGGCTACTGTTCATTTGTACTTCATTTACAAAAACAAATTTGCCTTGGAACAAAGATCAGCAACTCTGTCTCTAGGATAGGAGACTTCTCTGAGGAGCTTCACTTAGAGGAAGAGGCCAAGGCAGAGGCCAAGAATGCTGCTAAATCCTCTAAAACACATAGGAGAGTCCCTGTGACAAACAACTGTCCAGCTCCAAACACAACCAAGTCAACAGCACTGACACAGAGAAACCCTCCTCAAGATGGGGCCAAGGTGCACAGCGAGCTGTCCTCACCCACGGAGAGCAGGTTCCTGAAGTTCTCCAGCATCACGTCTCGGTACAGCTTCCTCTGGGCCGAGTCCAGCAGCCCCAGCTCCTCCTCACTGAAGACCACAGCCACGTCCCTGAAGGTCACTGCCTCCTAGGGCATCGAATATGTGTTATTTCAATCTTGTACCCAGGTTCCTATTTATCCCCTTACAAAAGTGTGGGTGCAAAGGCACCAAATAGCTCAGTGGGTTAAAGTGCCTGCTTAGGCAGAGTTCAGCGGCCAGGGTTCAAACCCCGGCGTGCCCGCCCCTGGGGTGCGCTGAGACAGTGATTGAGACTGGGCGTGGTGGCATGTGCCTATAATCCCAGTGCCTGGGAGGCTGAACACAGGTGGATCACTAGGAGTCTGATCTACATAGTGAGACCCTGCAGACCCTTACTAAAACAAAAAAGGCAGATGCAGGTACGTGTGTGTATCGGTAGGGGTTTGAAAAAATAAAACCTGGTACATATAATATGGTGGCCTTTAGATACTCAGGACCCTAGAACTATCATTGTTCAATCATGTTTTTACATATTTTATAATTTGGGAGTGCCGATCTTGTCAAAATGTTGTGTTGATGTTGTGCCAACTGTGTCAGCAGCGTCCATCTCTCTCCTCTCACTGGACAATACAGACCGAATATATACCTTACCCAAAAATACGAAATGCTTCAAAACATTTCTAAGTGCTACTACCATTTAGAAGTTTAGGTGTTACAGCCATTGTGGATTTCAGCTGAGGGCTGCTGAGCCAGCAAAGTCTGCGCAACTATTCCAAAATCCAAAAATCTCTGAAATCTGAAGCCCTTCTGGTTGCAAGCCTTTCAGAGAAGGGGTTGTCACTCAACCACTGTCAGCCCTCACCAACCTAACAGGCCTGACTCCCTGGGGCGGGCAATGCACTTCACTCTCTGCGTTCCCAGGAATGTGTCGTATCAGTCACCGCGGCAGCACTGAGGGCTGAGGTGAGGAGCCCAACTCCGGAAACCGCCTCAGTTATTAGTCTGAGGCAATTGGCTGAGTCTCTAACTACTTACTACCTCAGCTTCCTCACCTGTGTAACGATACTTACATCATGAGCTGAAGAGATTAAAGAAGGGAAACCATGTAACGGTCTTAGAGTCTAATGTAAGTACTCAACAAATGCCAGTGTCCCATTCCCATCATCTGTTTTATCCTGTTCATGACTACATGCTATTCTATAAAAGCAATGACCTACAATGTATTTAATCATTAAAATGCACATTAATGCAAAGACTTTAAAATGATAAAACAATGCTGCAAGAAACATCTTACATAGATCTCAGCCAATTTACTCTGGTTATTTTGTTACAGTAAGTTCCAAAAAGTGGTAATACCGCTGCAGAAAAAAAAACCACCTTTATTTTGCTAATGGCTATTGTCCCAGTTAACTTGTCCTATAAGAGAGCGTAAGTACCTTTGATTCTTCACTATCTTATATTTTCTTTCTTTTTTTTTTTAATTTTATTTATGTGTGTGTGTGTGTGTGTGTGTGTGTGTGTCCAGCTCAGCCCACCAGGGGGTGGGGCTGGCTGGCATGTGGTGCTGGGGGATCGAACGGTGGTCCCTGTGCTTTGTTGAGCTTGTTCTGAGTAGGTGCTTTAGACCACTGAGCCATCTCACCAGCCCCAGTATCTTATATTTTCAAATCTTAAATAATTTGGTAACCAGTATCAGTACTTTTAAAATTTTTCATTTATTTAATTTAAAAAGTATTTATTTATTGCTTATTCCTTTACTGTGTTCAGTCCTACTGGGGTGATTTACATACCAGGAAGATTTCTATCGTGAATACGAAACCTTCCAGGCAAATGTAATTTCCCATTCCTAGCTGTTATTTGCCTCATAACTATGTGTGGTGTTTTCAGGCAGGAAATTAAGGTGTTTTTAATCTCAAGAGTCTGTCTTTGTTTTAGAGTTCTGAGCATGTATGCACTCAATGACCAGAGGACACATCTGGCAAAGAGCCAGTCATAGGAAGGGACCAGGAGAGAACAGTGTTATCTCTGGAGCCCTTCATCTGCCACGACCCACCAGGAACACACATCACAGTTTCAAGTCCCCAAGTGGAGAGCTCTCTTTCCTTCCTGTTCTTGCATCACCTGAGCCGACTACCAGAAAAACCTGGACAGGCGTTAAAAATGTCACTGTCAGCTGGGCACCGAGTGGATGTCAGTCGGCACCGAAAGGTTTACAACTCTCCCTCTACACCCAGTTGATCCATGTGGTAATGCCATGCAAGTGCCTACAACTATTAGGTTTCTGAAAATAAGTATGTAATACTTTAAAATACATGTTTAAAGCCGGTAAGAAAAAATTCCTAGGGCCCAGGATTCAGCTCAGTGGCAGCACCTGCCTGGCAAGCGCAAGGTAGTGAGTTTTACTCCCGATACCAAAGAAAAAAATCCTAGCTGCTCATTTGTTGAAGCAGCTCAAATTATTTCCTTTGAGGTCAGTAGCAACTGAATGCTATGAAACAGAGCCACACATAACCCCTTCTACAAAATGAGGCACCACATGTGGGAAAACAAGTCTTCAGAAGACAAGGAACAAAATATACAATCTTGGGCCGGCAAGATAGCTCAGCGGACTAAGAGCCTGCTTTGGCAAGCACAAGGACTAGGGTTCCATTCCTGGTCCTGCATGTGGTGCTGGCCCTACCCACAGGACACAGTGAGCCAAGTCCAGGCATGGTGGCACAGGCTTGTAATCCCAGAGCTGAGGAGGCTGAAAACAGGAGGAGGCTGCAAGTCTGAGCTGCATAGTGAGACCCTGTACCAAGTACATAAATGAAAAAAACAACAACAACAACAACAAACACAAACACAGAATCTTCAGAATTCTTCACTGGGGAAGAAAGGTAGAAAATGTGTTCAAAATAGCAAAATTTATAAAGCACAGGAATATGAGGAATGAAGAAAAATAAAATTAGGCAAACTATGGGGGGGAAAGTCACCAGTGAAAATGTAGGTGAAATAAAACAAAACTTGAAAACTAAAAATTGTACCCAAAATATGATTATATGTTGTACCTAATATGCACTGAGAAGGAATACAGGGAAATGAGGGCAGCTGATTTTTAAGGTCTGTAAACATTTATTTATACTTACACTATTTATGTTTTTTTTCTTTTAAACAAAATTTAGTATTTTACATTGTTATTTGGAAATAAAAGGCACGAGCCTGGCACAGAACATTTTTCCACTGCTCTGGTATCCTCCACCTTTTCCTAAAGATGATAAAAACGTCATTTTAAGAAACCCAGGGCTGGAGAGATGGCTCAGTGGTCTAAAGCACCTACTTGAAACAAGCTTGGCAAAGCACAGGGACCGCGGTTCGATCCCCCAGCACCACATGCCAGCCAGCCGCGCCCCCTGATGGGCTGAGCTGGCCACACACACACACAATAAATAAATGTAATAAATAAAAATAAATAAATAATAATAAAAAAAAAAGAAACCCAAAGGCAAACAACTCACCTGGAACTTGGTCATTGTTCTTTTCCTTCTGGAGAAAGGCAGAGCATGGGCAGATCACGCTGGGGAGGGGAAAAAATCAGGACAGCTGCAGTGGTGAAGTTAGACATGGCGCGCTTTGGGCGACCAGATGCCTCTTTCTCCAGGCGGTCACAGTTGCCCACAGCCTGGGGACAAAAGGGGCCAGATTCCGACCACCTACCCAAGTCCCCTCAACAGTCTTCATTCATGAACAGCCCTTCTAACACTTCTAACTTCAACGCTTCTTGTCATCATAATGGGGCCAAAATACCCGGGTTCAAATTCTGTCATTTCCATTTATTGTCTACCAATAGTGCAAAGCTTGGGCAAATTATTATTATTTTTTAATGTATTTGGTACAGGGTCTCACTATGCCACTAGGACTCATAATGTTCCTCCTGTTTTCAGGCTTCCCAGTGCTGGGATTACAGGCCTGGGCCACCATGGTGGGACTGGGTGGCCGGCTCAGTGCGCTGGGGGGCAGGGCCAGTGGGGCATGTGGTAACTTGAACAAATTATTAATGTCTCTGAAATCCACCTGGAAATGGGACAATAATGTTAATAATGTTCTCTACTTCCTGTAGATTTTTTTCAAACAAGCAGGTGCTGTTATGTTTCAGAAAACTGCCCACTGCAAAGTGCTTTTCAGAACTCAGAGATGTCTGCGACCTATGAGCAAACCTCACCCTCAGGAGTCTGTAATTCCAGGTGTCTCACATACAATTTCATGTACAATTTTTTCCATCAATAAGTTATCATGGATTTTTCCTCTCCAAGAAGTATAATTCCTTCCAAATAACTTGGACACGTCTGATCAAAGTGCCTTTTCCCAGATGCATGGAACTTTTAACTAAAGAAACAAGCGTTGCACAAAATTTCCCACGGCCTCGCATTATGGCAGGCATTGTGCAAATCTGTGACCAAGCTAGTTTCTCTGTCTGGTATAGACACAGGGCCTTCCCCATGCTCCTGTTGGAAGCACTCTTCTGCTGGGAACAACCCCAAAGCAGGCAAGGATCAATGAGAGGGGGCAGCGGCTCTGCAGCTGGGGCGCCCCTCCCCGCTGGGCTCAAAGGCGCCTGAGAACAAGGGCGCTTTCCCGAGGATCACCGTAGAATTACTGGGAAGCGCTAACATTTTACTATGTCCCACGCATTGTTTTAGTACATCTTACACACGGAAAATCTCGTTTAATTCTCACAAAAAAAGCAACGTGGAAGCCACGAAGCCTTGATGGCCACGAGGAAACTACGGCAAGGAGGGATGAAGCGACTTCCACAGTATCCGCTGCGAGGAAGAGGCAGGGCTGGCTTGAGTGCAGGGGAGAGTTGGGGCGGCGGAGAGCGCGGGAGTCCCTCAGACTCCAGGCGCGCGCCAACTACGGCCTCCCGATCCTTGTCCCGCCCCTCCCCTGGTTTCTCTTCCCCAGGCCACGCACCCGGGACCCAACAGCTGCACAGCCCTGGCCAAGACGGTTTGGGGAGGTCGGGAAGACCCACGCGCTCTCACCTTACCCCCAGCGAAATCACTCAGCAAACCTCGCCTTCTGGGAGCGGAAGTGCCTCCGCCCGCCTGCAGCACCTGGACTCCATTTCCCAGAATCTCAAAACGGAAGTGCGTCACCTCTCTGGCGCCGCTCGGACTACATTTCCCAGAATGCTCACAGTAGGCTGGTTTCTATATTGATAAAACTATACTGGTCGTTTTTCTGGTACTATTGCTATCAGATTTCTTTTTGTTTTATTAATTTCTTAAGGCACACCAAGAAGCAATTGGTAACCATTAAAATATGTGGCAGTATCAGAAAGCAAGATATTCAGACAGATAGTGAGGTTAAGCTCAACAGCCTAGGTTGTATGGTAATAACAATAAGCTTCTCTTCTGGAGGGTTAACAAACGAAGTTTGCAGACCAAAATTAGAGAAAAAGGAGGGCTACAAGGAAAGCCAACATTTTGGCCCTAGCCTTCCAAGGTCAATTAAGACTCAGTATATACGAGAACTTGTACTGTAAGGTCATGTAACTCAGTTGTGTCCCAAATTTTCTGATCAAGGAGATTATGGGGCCAAAGAGGAAAGTGATCGATGATGTAGAGTGTGCCTAAGGAGAGTCACATGAGAAGACACTCTCTCAGGCTTTCACAGAGAGCACATTGGCCAAGCAATGGCCGTGACTCATCCACATGGCTGATACTGACAAAGGTTCTACAATCTGAGGTACAGGATCTCAGGATAAATCCTGAGGAGATTTGACTGACCTTATCAGATCCAAAAGCTACAATTCTTTTTACATAGGTCTTGTTTTATGTTGGTCTTAACCATCCAGCAGAAAAATATAAAAATGAAGTACAAGAAATAAAGCTATGTTGTTATGTTGAGCTGTAGGGGACTCAGGTTAACAACTTCTGACATTGCAAGTTAAGTGGAAGACCCAGTACTATTATGGACTACTGGACTATTTTGGAATATTTTGCTGAGTTTATACACCTATAATATTTAAATGATGGAACTAAACAAAAAAAGGGGGTATAGATGAATGACCATTTTGTATCTGTGTATTCAAAATGGTATAGATATATAGCTACATTCTCTTAATTCAATGGATAGATATATAGCTACATTCTCTTAATTCAAGGAATAGAGGGATTTGTCCTAATAGTGTTTGTAAATAGGACATCATGTCTGCATCTTGTACAACAAATGTAAAGCCCAACAATTTTAGGATCATAAATGAGGCTAAAAACAAAGTGTCTTTCAGTAAGGGGGCCCACCCGCTAGTTTGTGGCTATAGAGCTTAGACAAACCATGTCCCTAAAACAAAGAGGACATAAAAACCTCAGATGGGGTTCTGTTACTTGGAAAGCAACTAAAACCACTGAGTTAGCCAAGAAGTTGCCCTTGGCCCTCCCCTTGTTTAAATTCTTGCAAGAGACATACATTCCCAAATCCAAGGCCTCACTATTGAAAGCCATAACAACAGGATGTCCCAGGTCACAATGCCTCGATTTCTTAAAAACATTCCCGGAATATGACAACCACAAGGTTAGTCCCCCCCAGCTACCCCCAGACTTACTCCATCTGGTCATCCGGTATTGTAATCCACCAATTATTTTAAAGGTCAACCTACACTAACCAATGTGATCTGCTTCTGTAACTTGCTTGCCTCCACCCTAATTTGTGGTTTTCGCCTTTAAAAAACTATGCCTGTTTCACTAAAGTCGCGCTCTGTTCCTGCGTGTGCAGACCGCCCTACGTATACATAGATAATAAAACTTCCCCTTTGTGACTTGCATGAGAGACTGACTCTTGGGGTCTTCCTTCGCGGCGACTCCACCCTTACACAAATAACCACTAGGGGGGCTGGTGAGATGGCTCAGTGGTCTAAAGCACCTATTTAGAACAAGCTTAGCAATGCAAAGGGAACACGGTTCAATCCCCCAGCACCACATGCCAGCCAGCCTCGCCCCCTGGTGGGCTGAGCTGGCCACACACACACACACACACACACACACACACACACACATCCAAATAAATAAAAATAAAAAATAAAATAAAAAACAAAAAAAAAACACAAATAACCACTAGGAAGGCAGTGTGCAATGTGTTAATTATTGGAACTGTCCAATTTGATTTGAAACTGTCTCATTGCTATTTATTTCTCAATAAAATTATGGAAAAAAGAAAAAAAAAGAGTAGGCTAAAATGGAAAATGTAAGAACCACTTAAGCTGAGCTAAACTGAGCTGAGCTGAGCATCAAACTTCAGGAACACTGCATCTCAAACTTGTAACAAATGCTGACTCCTCATATATTACTAGTACAGCCTGTTGAAAAACAGAAGTGGAGTTTACTGCTTTAGCAGAGAGTGCCAATTTTCTTGATTCTTCTGCTAACCTTTTGTAATGTGACCAAATACTTGACCAAAACAATTTAAAGGAGAAAAGATATATTTTGTCTCATGGTTTCAGTCCCATGATCAGCCAGCTCCATTGCTTTGCATCTGGTGGTAAGGCAGAAAAATAGTGGAAGAAGCTGGAATCCAGGAAACAAAAACAAAGGGACTGACCTGGAAAAGATATCCTTAAGAGGCATGTCCCCAGTGACCTACTCCCTCCAAAGAGGCCCCACCTCATAATAACCAATGGGTTCATCCCCTGATGCCTTTAGCTCCCTTCACAATCCAGCCACTGCTCTAGGCATCTTAATCTCAATCAAACTGCCAGTGAGGATTAACCATCATACATCTGTTCTTGAAGAACAGCAGGGTAACAGCAGAGGATGCTAAAAAGATCCCAGGTCCACTATTCTTGCCCCATGCAGATTCATTAGGTGTGATCTACACAGAAGGAAAGGGACATTAAACCACTGGTGATTACTGAGTCTTTTGTACTGTGCGATATCCTCTTATCTATTTCCCAGGACTTCTTTTGATTCTTTCTTACCTTCTAATCATTTCATATTCTGCGCATCTACGCTGGGCTCTAGCAGCTTGCCACGTTCACCTCAAGCTTTTGCATCATGCTCTTTACTTTTTCTCAATTTCCTAAATGCAACAACACCTAGGTCTTAAATAACTTGAACAGAAATTACAGAATTGCTGCTTTGGAAAGATATCTCAGGGAATATTCCTGTTGATGAGGACTGGATATTTTCCTGCTTTCTTTGTCTAGAATTCTACTTGTTCTAATAGTCTTATACCCAGAGGACATGCTTTTATTTTATTTTTGTTTGTTGGTTTTTTGTATTGTTTTGGTGGTACTGGGTATTGAACTCAAGACCTTGTGCTTGCCAGGCAAGCACTTATTTTACTGAGCTATCTCCCCAGCCCCAAAAGTAGTTGGCTTCTTTTTTTTTTTTTTTTTGGTTTGGCAGAACCAGGGATTGAACTCAGGCCCTTGCGCTTGCCAGGGAAGCGCTTATTCCACTGAGCCATCTCCCCGGGCCCTGAGGGCATACTTTTTTTTTTTTT